TTGGTCTTGTTTTTTTTTTTTTTTTTTTTTTTTTCTTTTTTTCTTTTTATCATAGCATAGTACACACTGAGCTTGTACATGAGATTCCCATTGTTTATTCGCATCGTCTGCGGGCTTCAATCTTATGTCAGTCTTTTCAAATGAGATAGACTATCACAAACACAAAGTTGTACAAAGGCACTTGCTTCTTAGGTGCTAAGCCACCAACAGCTAACTACATGTATATGGATTCTTCACAAAATATATTATCAGGTGTAATTCCCAGCATCCATCTGCTACCAGGACTCTTTTAATACTTCTTACAACAATCCAGAGGACTGGGATGGTCATGAACATGAAGCAGTATTGTATTCAAATGCTAAACCAAGGTTCTAAATCACACAGAGTGTGAAAGAGACATGTGACATCCTCCCCACAGCTAGCGCCCATGGGGTAACCCGAAAGATACCCGAGCATAGCTATAAAGTGTTGTATAAAGAGGAACGTCTTTCTATACTCTCCAGGGCCGGGAACGGAAGAAAACCCATGGAGGCCGAAGCCATCGGATAAGCCTCAGCAAGCCACAAAGTGGAGCCCCGTGAAGTTGATATAGAAAAAAGAAGAAAAAGAGTAAAGACGTGGGCGAGCCGGCCGTATTTATGTGTCTGTTTTTTTCTACGCTAGAGCTGATTGAGATTCGGTTAAATGGTTATTCCGGAGGAAGTTATATTCAACAGGACATATCAGGAAAATCCCTAACAAAAAGAAAAAGAAGGTCCTACCCGGGATCGAACCGGGATTGCTGGTATCAGAAACCAGAGTGATGACCATTACACTATAGAACCAGAATTGTTGTTTGAGCCCAGTTTAGCGTTTAATAAAAACGTTTTCAGAGCAGTAACCTGTCTAATCCACAAAGCCTCCAGGCGTTCTAACCTGATCAATCCTAGACACATAGTTATAGGTTATCCGTCTTACTCTTTCCCGGAAGCCTTTCTAATTCTCTGTTAATCGGTTGGGATATCATCGGAACTTTTAGCGATATAATTAGTCGCTAACTACGTAGTCAAGTTGTTTTTAGCAATCTACTGCTAATGGCTGGTATAGGAAGTGTAGACCAATTTGCACAAAGATATTGACGGAACTTTCTGCAACAGTCCGGTTCTATAGTGTAATGGTCATCACTCTGGTTTCTGATACCAGCAATCCCGGTTCGATCCCGGGTAGGACCTTTTTTTTTCCCCTTCAATTTTCTTCTAGTCTTTCTTAGTGTTTACGACTTCTTTAATAACAAAATTGTCCAAAATTAATTAATGCTGAGACTAAATATCTCAAAGTCAAAGCCTCCTACAGAGTGCCTACAACATACATGTAGATACCTAAAGGGTGGAATATCCGCGGTTTTAGCCCAAGGCTCGGGTAGAAATAGACAGCCCTGGAGGATGGAGATAAACTAAACGCGTGACTTCACGCGCAAATATGGTTAGCCCCGAAATCTTATTTCTGCCTCCACTTCACCTTCAGTATAACCCCATAATCATGACTGGCATGACTGGGGGCTTTACTGTTGACCCTGTCGAGCATAGAAGCAGTTACGTCCGGTCGCCACTGCCAACCAGAGTTCGGAGTGCCTGCGAAAGATGTCGTCGCCATAAATCTCGGGTAGAGCCACCCTGATCCTGATCAGGACCTGACATATACTGAATCAAACTTGGACCTAGTGTGATCCTGTTCGACCTTGCTCCGTGTGTGTCCGAGCCAATGTTGATTGCCGACCACTTCCAACGACCCGACCACGGAGGGCCACTCTGCCGAAGTAAGCTGTACAGATGCTTTTAACTTGTTCTTTTATTTACATGACATACTAGGCGCCTGGGTTCCAAAAGAAACCCGCGAACTGACCGGCATCGATCTAATCTGTCCCCGGCGACTCCTACCGAAAGGTCGCCGGATGGAAGTGGCTCTGGTCGCGGGGAAAGAATTTCTGGTCAGCGTAGATTGATCGATGCGCACCCAAGGGGCGATGATGCTGACTTCCCTGCTGGAGGGGGGGATATGCCTTCGTCTCTCAATTGCGGTGAAGCCGAATCCGCCATAGGAATCGCTCGAAGAATTTGTCAACTTGGCAGCCATAACATTGATGAACAACCCACATCCGCCATACCCGGCTACCAGGACAGCACCGGTGGTTCTATGGCAATTTCGGCAACGGGCCAACGGATTCCGATATCTTCCATCTTGGGCCGGCCGTTCCCTTCTATGGAGCTTGTATACAGTCTGTTGGAAGATTATTTTGACGCCGTGCACTGGTTTTCTCTCGCCGTTTACGAGCCAAAATTCAGAAAGAGCCTCCTTTCCATGGCGGACGGTTCTGCATATCCATCGCAAAGACCGTTTCTTTTACTGTTGGCCATGATGCTTGGAATGGCATCGTGGTACCGATCTCAGAGGAGTTGCACTGATCCGGTCGATAACAGCGATGATATGAAGAAACTGAGTGCGGACTTGTTAGGGCTGGTTGAGTCAAATCTAGTGGAGTTAATGGATCAACCTTCAGTCACCTCTGCGCAGACCTGCATTCTCCTAGGATCGCATCACGTCTATCACGGCCGTCCAAATCTCTCCTTTTCGTTGTTGGGAGCGACCATAAAGATGTCTCAGTCTTTAGGAATGCACCGGGGACTTGTACGGGGGGATTTCGAGAATATTGAAGAAAGAAAAAGAGTGTGGTGGACAATTTACACATGGGACAGGTTCGCTTCAATTACCTATGGCCGGCCATTGGGCATCAACGACAAGGATTGCAATCTTGACATGCCAGCGGATGTGTTCGAGAATCCGAGTTTTGTTGCTCCAGCCTCCGGTCAGGCTAGCCCCATATGCTATTCAACCTACCAGCGGGAGTTGAACCAGCTCTACCTGATTGCATCGCCTGCCCTCAAGACTGTTTTCGGCTCACGTACTCTAAGGACGTCCGAACAGCTAAATGGTGACACATATTTTGCACTAGTCAGGCACGTCACTGAGAACCTCGAAAAATGGCGATCCTGCCTACCGAGCCATTTGGCTTTGGATCTTAATCGGGACTTGGATCCCGATGATAGGCCGGGCTTGAGGGCATACGCCCTACAGTCTCTTTCGCTACAACTGACTTACGACAATGTTCTCATTGTACTGCATCGACCTTTGTTAGCACGGCAGGTTGATCATCTATATAATAAGCAATCCCCGGAGGAAAGCAGAACAGATAGCATTATGTATCATCCGACCACCGATCCCTCCGTGCCTCAGTCGAACTTATCTTCCGACTCCGCATTTCGCAATACCCAGACTACAAGCCCGGATCTATGGATGAATGCCGCAACAAGAACATCGAGAGTGACAGAGATGCCGGTTCTAGCCCAGCTCGCCACCGACAGCCATCTCTGCGCATTTCTTGCCATCAACCTATTCAATGCCGCGATTGTGTTGGCTGTGATGGCTCTCTCTGAGCCTCTTTCCGATACCGCGCAGGAAGTGAAACGAACAATTACTCGCATTCTTCGTCTGCAAGATCTGCTCGGAAGACGGTCTGCACTATCGAAACAAAGCACAGCTGTGCTGAAGAATGTTGTTATGATGCTTCTCCGTCGTGAATCGGCTGCCATGCTTGCTCCCATTACCGGAACAAGTCAACTAATGGGTCACCAGCCTTTACAGACCCTGGCAGATCAGGCCTCGATTTCTGTTGAAGACACACTTCGGATGCCGCTTGATGCGACATGGGATTCTCGCAATCCTCTTGATAGAGACCAACGTCTGCCGGACCTCAGCAGGGCTGATCGCCTGAACAATAGCTTAACATCTGTCCAATATGGTGAGCTTTACCATACACATCTAAAATGATGAACTTGCTAACGCAGATATATTTTTCCAGCCTTGGGTCCAGGGGATCGTTCTGCCGGCATTCCTACTGGCGGAGATAACCCTCAACTTCGAGAGTTTGTTGACCCAGGCATACAGACACATGAAGTATGGCAGTTGCCAGCAGAATACGATTGGAATATTCCTGGTCTGTCTCGGGAGCCCGTAGAAAACAATCACCATGATAGTGTTGAAGGCGGGTTATATTGGTTATGGGACATGACGTGGAATGGAGTTGGAGGGTAATCGGCGGTTAAATCGAAAAACAACAGTCAAAGGCATGCGCTATGCTAAACTTGCTCTTGCCTCTTCCTCGTCGACATTCGGGCCATAGATTACACTCTTAATTCCACCTCGACCAGCGACATTTTTGAAAGCGTCCTCAGCCTGACTGAAAGGATATTCATGAGTGACGAGACCATCCAGCCTGATTCGGCGCGAGTCGAGCAATCCAATGGCCAGTTTAAAGTCTCCGGGCCCGTACCGGAAGCTTCCTTTGAAAACAATCTCTTTGTCGCAGATCTGACCAACCGGAACTGATGGGTTCGGTTTTCCCAAGCCGACTTGAATGAACGTCCCGCCCTGCGCCAGGGCAAGGATACCGCAGTTCAGACAGGGCTCAGCGCCAGTCGCGTCCAGAGCAATATCAACACCATCATGCAAACCAGCCGTCGCCAACAGATCCGCCGCATTCTTGTCCGCCGTCTCAGCGCTCATTTGGTATGTGTGGGTAGCACCATATTTCACCGCGGAAGCGAGCCGCGCCGGGACGACGTCCACGGCGATAACCGTTGACGCACCAAAGGCCCGCGCGACGGCACAACAGAGCAATCCGACAGGTCCTGCTCCGAATATAGCCACTGATTTATCCTGCATGAAACCTGCCAATCTACAGCTGTGTACAGCCACGCTAAGCGGTTCGATCAGGGTACCGTCGCGCATGGAGATATGGGATGGGAGCTTGAAACAGCATTCTGCAGGAACGCGGTAGTAGGTAGCGAGCGTCCCGTCGTAAGGTGGTGTCGCGGCAAAGCGCATTCCCCGACAGAGGTTGTAGCGCCCATTGCGACAGTGATTGCAGGTGTTGCAGGCGATACCGGGCTCGAGAGCGACTCGGTCTCCAATTGCGAGGCCTTGAACTCCGCTTCCGCTCTCTACCACGACTCCTGTTGACTCGTGGCCCAGGATTATCGGGTCTTCGACGACATATGGTCCTATTCGACCATGTTGCCAGTAGTGGACCTGTTGTGGTGAGGGCATTTGTTAGTTTCCATTGTATCGAGGAAATAGAAAGGGGAAAAGAACGGGGAATGGAAAAATCGATGTCATCTTACTCACATCTGAACCACAGAGACCTGTTGCCATGACTCGGACTATGACATCTCGGTCTGACTGGAGTGTGGGTGTGATGCGTTCTTCGAAAGCAAATGTGCCTCCGGGGTGCAGGACGAAAGCCCGGTTGGCAGTCTAGATAAGTTTTGGTGTGAGCAGGTGCGTTATAAACCCATGAGTTTGGGTCATGACTGAGGCTGGGACTACCTGGGCAGCTTTTGTGACGGTCATTTTTGCTGAGGGGTTCTGTTCTACTGAGCAAAGCTTTGGGATTCTACTGGGCTTTAAATACTATTATGGAGGTCCTGGATATTTTACCCACTCAGTTACATGTGCGGCGAACGGATCCTTTGTATTGAGACTTTTCCGGCGGATAGTCGACCAGCTCTATGAGGCGTCTCCATCCTCGACCCGTGTCCAAGACCGAAGTCGGACTAATATCGGGATACCGATATTTACTTAAATGTTGAAAGCCGAACAGGATCTATAACAATTGCCGGCCAAAATGGTGACCATGCACAGCTTAAATTCAAATGTATTCTCGCTTTACTATATACTCCGGTCTTCTAACACGTAATCTAGTCAATTATCCCCCGCGTATCCCCAATTTTCAAATCCCGGAAGTTCAGGAACCGTGTTGTCTTCCGCCGGCACAACATATGCCAAGCTATCCCGGAACTTGACATTCGCCACCGGAACCGAGATTAGGGCTCCACCAGAGTCCCGGAACCGTTCACCCCCCCACAGAAGCACGGCCAATGTCGGCATATGGACACTTGAAGAGTACCTGAAAGTTCCAACGCGCAGGTCTAAATGATAATAGAGGTTTTCACGACCGAGAGTCGGGAGGGATCCATGGATGCCCAGAAACCAAAGCCGCTAAGTACTCCATTGTCCAATGGCAATGCCGGGCATGTCGGTAATTCACCGAAATGGTAACCCCATAGTGTACCTCATGATCCATTTCCCCATCATCCTGGAGAAAATTCATCTTCCCCACACATGTCCGGGGTATAAATAAAGCCATTGCCCCCGATCAGCTGCCGATGTCACACAATATCTCTTGATCAAACCCACAAGTGGTTCCTTATACTCAGTGCCCTCGTTGATCAATTCCTCTTCGGCACTATGAGTGTCACGAAATCTTCCGAGCCGGTCCCCATTGGGACCATCAGGGAGCGTTCCCTAGCTGTCGCCGCGCAAGTTGAGGAACAGCAAAGCTGGCTGGAGAGGAAACTCAAACCGAAAAAGATTTCAGCCAGATATCCCTTCAAAGGCAAACCCTTACTCTACGCAACATGTGCCTTTGGCAGCTTGGGAGATGCTCTTTTCGGTTTCAATTCTGGTATGGCATCCTTGAATATGTTGTCGAGATCTAGCTACTGATTTCGTAGGTATCATGTCCGGCCTGCTGGTCAACGAAATATTTATAGCCCGCTTCTTCAAAGACTACGGAGGAGCCGACGGGACGACAAGCGGGGTTGATCCCTCGATCACAGGCATATCTGTTGCGTGTTTGCAAGCAGCAGCGGCGGTAGGAGCACTCGTAGCCGGTCGTCTTGGAGACATGATTGGCCGAAAGAAATGCGTCCGCATCGGCGCTTTCATCTACTTCTTCAGCTCGTTTATTCAGATGTTTGCGCCTGGCTTCGCAACGTTCATGGTAGGTCGCACCATCCAAGGATTGGGTGTTGGGTTCCTCTCCATGACCGTGCCTATCATTCAAACGGAGATTGCTTCCGCTCACCGCCGAGGTTTGATGGTGGGTATAGAGTACACCTTCTTGATCGCTGGATATATGCTTTCTTGTTGGGTGGACTATGGGTTTAACTTCTTGTTGCCAGACCATATTTCATGGCAGGGGCCCTTCATCATCCAGATCGTGCTCTCTTTCTTCTTGGTTGGCATGTCCTTCTTCCTACCAGAAACTCCTCGATGGTTGGCGTTGAATGGTTTCGTGGACGAAAGCTTGCAAACAATTGCAGACCTACATTCTGATGGTAATACGCAAGCGGAGCATGTTCAGCGGACTTTCCTTGAAATTCAAGAAGCGGTTATCTATGAGAACAATCTTGGGAAATCTAGTTGGAAGGTAACTCCGCCCTCACAACTTGTGCGACTTGTCAATCATCTCGTGGATCACTAACCCTGGATCGCCCCTTATAGGAAATGTTCACCCGGTATCGCAAACGAACCATTGTTGGAATCACGGTGCAGATGTTCGCACAGATTAACGGAATCAACATCATCTCCTTCTACCTCCCGAGCACTCTCGCCGCCGCTGGCTATGATAATCGCAAATCCCTGCTGTTCACTGCTGCAAATGCTCTTCCCTACACCGCTGCAACAATCGTTACCTGGTGGTTAGCGGATAGATGGGGCCGAAAGCCTTTACTCATTCTTGGAGGTCAGTTTCCGTGATGAACATCGTTATGAAGGAGGATAATCGAGTTGATTAGCAACCAAAAGCTAACAAATTTAAACAGGTCTCGGCATGGCCGTACTACTAGCCATTGTCTGCGTCTTCACCGAAATTAATGCGGATATTCAGACCAAGGCGAACGGCCAGTATGCCTTCGTCATGCTTTATAATGTCATGTACGGATTCACCTGGGGTCCGATGCCGTGGCTTCTACCTGCAGAAATCTTCCCACTCCGGGGTCGGAGTAAAGGCATGGCCCTGGCCACGACTAGCAATTGGATCTTCAACTTCATCATTGGAATGGTCTCTCCCGACGCTTTCGCTGGCATTCATGGTTATTTCTACCTAGTGATTGGTGGATTTTGTCTCAGTTCGGCCGTCCTGGTTCACTTTTACTATGTTGAGACTGCACACCATACCCTAGAGGAAATTGCTGTTGCATTCGGTGACAAGGCATTTGCGGATTCTGATGCGGAGGTCATGGAAATGGCTGATGCGAAGACTGAGCAGGTGGAATACTCGGCGTGAAGGAGATCTCATGGTCTCGATTTTGGATTATGTCATACGTCGTTCTTCCTGCTCTAGTTATTTTGTTCTATATGTCTGGAATCCATGCCCTCTAGGGCACTTATACTAATTCTTTATTGTTGATGCTAGGATATGCAGTTCCTGAATCACAAAAATTGACCCTCCCATGACAACTAGGTAGTAAAATGAACCTTAACAAAGGTGATCCTAACGAAAAGGGAAAAAAAAGGTCCTACCCGGGATCGAACCGGGATTGCTGGTATCAGAAACCAGAGTGATGACCATTACACTATAGAACCGAATTTGTTGGATCACGGCTTTGAAATCTGCATCATAAGAACATAGCCAGCGACCATTGCCAGCGACCATTGTCCAATAACATATTTTGAACCTTAAAAGCAAATCGCTTCTCACAGTCTATTCACCAGATCGTTTTGTAAAGGTCCCCCGTTTACATCTGCGGCTTTTTAGTGCGGTTTCCACATGTGGAGGGATACAGGCGCCACATCAAATTATGTAAAATACATATAACCACCAAAACATTTATTTCTAGAATCAGCAACGATAAGCCTTTACACCACATAAGGTGAGTTGATATACCATGTTGAGACGAACTTTGATAGATCTACCTTTGAAAAGGATAGCGCAGAGTACCTAGAGTCTAATATGTGATCTATGAAGGCGGTAAAAAGTCTAACTCATTTAGAGGTCTTTTATATGCATAACCAGGGATTATTGCTTGCTGAGGAGATCTAGGGCCATCTACTAGCGATGTTAGAGGTCTGCATTGCTGACACTAAGACCGTGCTGGTGTCAAGGGCGTGTTGCAAATGTCATGCGATCAGAGACCGAGGACAGTATCCATAAATTTCCCTAGTGTGAAAGGCTCGCTGCTACAGATAAATGCTAAGTTGTTTTCTTCGTCATTAAATTAATACACTAGACATCGATACTAGATTTTATTTCATCGACTGCTAACCTAGCTACGAATCAAAACACTTAACTTCTTATATAGCTCTGTAATCATCACGATTATACTACTGCAGCCAACTACTTATCGCTTGATGTGACGTTCTTAATGGATGCCACTTTTACGCAGTTTTTCATTCATATGTATTCAAGATGGACAAAGGCTGAATGCTCTCAAATGAAAGTCATTCCAAAGGTAACTAGCTGTTTTGAAAAAATTAACGATAACAAGGTCAGCAAGCTCGTTAGGGTTTTGCAAGAGAGCTCTAGCTATCATATCTGCAGAGGTTGAGGTACGTAAATCATACTCCTTGTTCCACCTACTTCCTAGTGGGCGAATAGCTTCTCATTTAATTTAGCGGGATCCACCCAACAAATTCGGTTCTATAGTGTAATGGTCATCACTCTGGTTTCTGATACCAGCAATCCCGGTTCGATCCCGGGTAGGACCTTTCATTTTTTTGTCTTTCCTTCTCGTACATATACGAGCTCTAACATTCTAAACTAGGAAATACATATGTAATTCCACTAGTTAGCTATGGCATGAATTAATTTTTCAAAACCACCTAGTAGATGTGAGTAGCAGATCTGAGCGTCTTAATAGTGAGCATTTGATATGGTACCACGCTTCTACCTATTAATAGAACATACGTATAAGGTTGTCCTTATTACTACCTAGAAATCGGCCCGCAAGAAGAAACTATAGAACTCGCCTAGTATATGATTCCTTGGTACCTAAGGTATTATATATATAGGCCGTACACGAACATATCTAGAAGACCTTCGAGGGTGCCTATACCTTCCAAGATCCATCGATATAATGACATGTCTGTTGGCGGCTGGGCTCTGATTTTCGGGCTTTAAGCTTAGCCAGCAAGCCTATCTCAAGCATTTCTTTACTCTATCCACGACCTGCTGGGAGGAAGACGTAGATTTCCTCCCCCCTGGCTAATAAAGATACGGCAAATACTAAACATTGGCGCTCTTCCTTTGTTTTTGCCGTGCTTGTAGTACGCCTGCAGTGTACCACCAGATCCCCAGGGCATGTTTGATGGCGTGCTATGTCTTTGACCTGCCCGTGGACAATATTCTTTATAATATTGTGAATAATCTCTTGGGCACGACCGGTGTTTGCGGAATGGGCCCTGCGGTGTGTGTTTCTAAGGCCACGAACATGCTGGTCGGTGTAGGGCTGTAATACGCGAGATGGCGCCATAAGGCCCGTTAGCAGATCATCAAAGATCATGGTGCAAACGAGCCTCCAATCGATATCCCTTATGATTTCGGCCAACGCCCCCGTGCACTATATGAGCCCCAACCTCTACGTGGCAGGGATCACTTTGTTTTAGGCTAGAGCTAAACAAGTATGGGTTGGTATTAAAGGGACGTGTAGACCGCTGGCTGTAACACCGACTGACAACCTATGTTTTCTCCCTAACAGATATTTTATCCCCATTCTACAAAAGCATCGACCGTCACCCTCCTGTTTTCTTTTCTTTTCTTTTCTTTTCTTGGTTTTTTACTTAAGAGCAGGATTCGATGTTGTTTATATCAGTCTTCTGTAGATAAACATGCCCCCAAAACCTGGCCGTCTTGCTTCCATTCTCCGTCCATAGGGTCTGATATTACCATGTTTTCTATTAGCTGTAAGTCTTTCTCGACCCCGCCACCAATTTCCAGAACTCTACTAACCATCCATCCTCTACAGTGCACTGGGAAGCTTTGACACAAGCGGTTCGCCGAGATGGTCTGGCAGCACTCGGTCGCCCAGGACAAATTCGAGATGCCGCTTCAGCGAAGTTGCTCATAACTTGTGACTTAACCAACCCGCCATATCTTCCTCCACTCAACTCGTGCGCGCAGTGAACTAAACGTCATGCGCAGCTGGTAACTTTATCGCTTACGAAGACACAACCATTGTCCCTTCGCTCGTACAGGTCGCTGGTGGCGTTGTTCTCGAACTGGGCCCTGGGCCAGGCAATCAGATTCATCGTTATGATACCTCTTTTGTCGAACGTATCTATGGCATCGAACCTAATCCCCAATTCAAAGACGCTATAGATGCCAGCTTGGACAAGCATGGCCTGCGGGACAGATATACGCTTATAGCTTGTGGCGTTGAAGATAGCGATGTTCTGAGAGCAGCGGGAATCACCGAGGGGAGCTTGGATGCCGTGTTATGTATCTAGGTTCTGTGTGCCGTAAAGGATTCGAAAAACGTGATGAAGGAGGCGTGGAAGCTGCTCAAACCTGGAGGCAAGTTTTGTATTCTGGGAGCATGGACAGAACAAAATCGTCTGACGGCTGTAGTGCAAGGTATGCCCGTCTCTACCAACCTTTCTTCTTTTCTGGGTGGACCCTCGAGAAATTTGTCTCCAGTGGAGGGACCTCCCTCCAACGAGTGCCGTAGATCGGCTAACATGAAGAAACCTTAGCTTGCTGGAATCCTATCTGGAGCACATTTGTCGGAGGTCATTTGACCCGTAATGTGTTGGCGGACATTCTCAATAGTGGAGAGTGGGAGAATCCGAACGAGATCGAAGAACCTGAAGAACGGTTTAGTCTACTGCCCAGAATCCAGGGCGTGCTTGTCAAGGAAGCTTAATTAGACGCCGATTGGAGCAGATTCGCTCTCTCTGGAGGCGTTGTCGAGTTAGAGAATGGAAAGGTGTTAGCCGTCTTGCTATAACTGAACCACTTTCGTCGTTCAATCTGTCCCACCAAACCCACCCAAATCTGTCAAGTATGGAATTGAAACTGATTCATAAAAAAGAATCCTACTACTGACCAAGCTTGACTATGTCCTCAACATGAAGTTACTATGTAAATAAGAGTTTATCATGCATCCTTATCGTCACGTGTTGTCGTGTCAGGGTCGCGTTGGACAACTTTCTTTCCCAATGATCAAAGACACGAGCTTGACAACCGTTACAGCCAAGTCCCGATGAGTCTGGATCGTGTTATCCAGGATTCTGACGAGGACGAACCCTTTGAGGGGGATGACGTTCCCGCCTCTGTCAACTCTCTCCACCCCTCCGAGCCCGCATTGCAGCAGGAATATCAACATGCCCCCGCCAGACAGACGACCCACAATGCAGTGTACGAACACAGCCTTGCTCCTGATGAAAGCATGTTCACACAGCTGAATGTCAATTTCGATGAGTTCCTCCAATCGCAGGAAAGAGGCCATTCAATGCTATCGTCGTCGCAGCAGCGGCGGGAGGACAGATGGATCCCCTCAACCAGTGAGGGTGGAACTGGGTCGGTCGGTACGATGTGATAGCATAGTTTGAAGCAGAAAAATATACATACGATCTATATGCTGATACCAATGATGCTCTAGGCGCCATGATGACGGAGATTGGAATCGCGCAGAGGAGACTTCTGGACGCCGATCCTTCAAGTGCAAGCCTACTGCCCCCTTCTACGGCCGCGCCGTACTCGACAGAATCATTTCAGTCTGCGCCGTTTCCTACCATACCAAGCTACCCCTCGTACCAGATGGATCAACCGGAGAATGGCAGCTTCGCACATAATCCAGCACTCATTGACGCCTACGTCGATGCAAATCAGACCTTGCTACCCACCAGACAGGGTACCTATGACCTGACTCCCCCTGACGCCAGTAACTTAATGGCATTGCCTCCGGAAATCCTCCCTCACGGAGCTACCGGGCCCTTCATGGAACAGGAGAACGCACACTTAAACTCACCCCAGGAAGCCTCACAGCCCAAATCTCAGCAGACGGGCCCCTGTTCCCCCCATGATACCGAACCTCTCTCCTCTGTTGCATCCATGAAATTCAGCGAAGCAAAGATCATCACTGCCGGAACCAGTCTCATCTCCCCGCAACAATCCCAGTCAAGCACGCACGACGAGCTCGCTCTGCCAGCAAACCCACCAGCTGTGCCAGATATCGAGACGCCCGGTGCGAAGAAGAAGCGGGGACGGCCCAAGAAGCAACCCTTGCCAGATAATGACGAAGATGATGAGCTAGCCAACTCTCGGGACTATGAGTTCAAACACCCTGGCGCAAATGGTGCGATTGACCCCTCCGATAGCGAATGGACTACGGAAAATAATACCCCGGCCTCGAGCGGAGTCTCCGATGAGACTGACGAAGAAAATCTAGAAGCAGCCCCAAAGCCTGAAAAACCAGGACCCAAGGAGTCGAAAAAGCAGAAAGCCAAAAAAAGCAAGACGACACCCGCCCCCGAGCCCGATGCTGATGACCACGTGATATGGGTGGACACGAAGCCTCTCAGCGTGGAACCCTCAACAGGGAATGCCACTCCACAGACAGAAACCCCAGAGCCCCCAGAACAGGATTTGGACTCCATTGTTTTGGACCCAAACCCTCCAGTTGCTCCCCAGGCACCGATTCCCACACTGGAAGAAAAGACACAAGATGCCAGAAACGCCGAAAAGCCAGCACCCAAGAAACGCGGACGCAAGCGAAAGCAGGCAATCGAGCAAGCGGAAACACCATCGGAGTCCGCAGATACACCCGAACCAAACAGGCCGCCGTCCGGAGCTCAGACTCCTGCGCCAAAGTTGGCCGTCGTTGTCGATAATAGTCCCAAATCCATACTGGAAGCTAACTCCGGTAACAACGATACATCTGTTATTCAGCTCAACGACCAGACGCCCCATCCACTTCCTGGTCCTGACCCTCTCCCTGACACTACAATTGATACCCCTCAGCCTCAGACTCCTTCGAAGCCCGATGCTGCACCTGTCGATACACCCCAGAATGCTGGCAAGGGCCCGGATAAGCATAGCCCCATCTCGGCGCGGAGTGGTGTGCCTTATCGCGTGGGCTTGAGTAAGAGGGCAAGGATTGCGCCATTGCTTAAGATGGTACGGAAATAGGGAGTCTTCTGCGTCTTCTACTTTCTTCTTCTTGATTAACATCTTCATTCCGTGTTTAGTGTTTCTTCTTTTCCTTTTATTGGGTCGGTCTGTTGTTGCCATTCTTATGCTATCATTATACCCCTCGAGAGAATGCTCTCGGCGTGCTGCTTTGCTTTGGCTTTTGTTTGTTTCTTGGTGGTATTGGTATCTGCATATCTCCCATGGATGCATGTCTATACTCACCCATTTATATGAAGTGGAAGAAAGTTCGGATTACTTCATAACATCCTACCTAGGTGTGTGAGCTACGACAATTTGTCTTGAGATCTTCTCAGCTAGTCTCAATATCGAAATGATTACATTTATGTTAAGGATCAGAGTAGAACTTGCACTGTCAAAGGATTATATGAGAGCCTATGATCATTGATCGGAGCAGAAGACGAACTTTCGTATTGTATTGCAATTCTGCTACCTGTTGATGATTCCAAAGTTCCTATTCCATCAGCTAACTAACCATGCCGTGTCTGCCGATAAGTTGAAACGAATGGATTGGCCACAATAAAGCCACAGCATGTAATTATAACTACAATTTCGACAATGCAAAACTCGGCCAAACAATCATGGCAATCCAGTCCAAAGATCAAGATGATTCATCACATCCACATCGCAACGATCAAAGCAAGGAACAACGATGTTGCAGCCGCGGTACCAATAGTTCGGAAATCAGAATCAGCCTCCGACTTGTGACCCTTGGTCTGAACCTTCGGGTCCCAGGCATCGCCATTGTAAGGAGCCTCAACGGAACAATATCCGGCATCTTTTTGGCAGCCACTTCCACAATGACTGGTGGTGTTGCCGCAAGAGTTAGTACTACCACAGCAAAGGCCATAGGTAGACCCAAGGCAAGTGTAATTGGAACCACAGGAGCCGTCCCAAGAGATCGGCTTGTTGGGATCTGCCGAAGAAGCGTTCTTGGGTTTCTTCTTGTGAGTGGGCATCCGGTCGTCCTTGCGGTACCAGAGTGGCCTGGGATCTCGGAGACAGTCACCAACAGTAATGGCGCGATAGCCCTGCCGCTTGATGCCCTTAAGCATGTGCTCCGTGAGATTGTGGACAGTCTGTTCATGGGCGTCATGGGCAATGACAAGCCAAGACTTGGTTCGTGGGTCGCTGTACAAGAGCTGGTGATCAAAGATATCCTTGGACCGCTGAATCAGATCCGGACTATCGTTCTTGTAGTCATCCGTGTCAATGTCATACAAAATGATGTGGTACCCACGCTCGCCCAGCTCATTTCCGCACTCTGTGTCGGGGCTGCAGCTGGAATAGGGCGGTCGCATGTAAGTAGGGAAGTGCCCCAGAATATTGCGTAGCGCAGCTTCATTTTTTTCAATCTGCTCACTGCGTTGCGAAGGAGTGATCTTGCTGAGGTCCTCGTGCGACCACGTATGACTGGCGATCTGGTGGCCACTCGAGTGCATTCGTTCGATCAATGAAGCCCACGGCAAGGTGAGATCGTCGATGGCACCCTTTCCGTTATTGATGCCAGTGACGAAGAATGTCGCCTTCGCATCGTATTTGTCAAGCAAATCGAGCAGATCGCCAGTGTAACGTGTCGGGCCATCGTCGAAGGTCAATGCAACAGTTCCGGGGATAGCGCACGAACGAATCTCACGAGGGCCGTACGGAACTTGACCGATGTGAGGACGAGGGACTTCCTTTGTTGGGGGCCCATAAGGCGATCGATGAGCGTCACATTTACCGTAGTCAATCTTGCAGTCTGGAGAGCGACAGTGCGCCTTAGATGTGCCGCAGAAACCTATCGCGGAATGCCATCAGTAAGTTGCTCAATCCAACAGAAATTGGACACATACCTGCAGCAGAGCAGCATGTCCCGACCGGACATTTGCCGATCTTGGGGCCACAGCGATAGTCCAAATTGTTAGGGGCATCACGGGTTTCCAAATGAGACTCGGGTTCTGGTTGAGACTGTTCAATCGCAACTGTATGCACAGGACCGGCGACATTCAGTCTAGAAAATACACATGTCGCCAAAGTGGTGACCAAGATGGGATGAATACGCATCTTGAAAATGGAATATAAGGTTATTTTATGCCAACTGGGTATGCAAGAGGTAATGGGTTGAGATGATAGCAGGAGGTGATTCAAGGCGAGAGGAAAAGAGAGAAGAGACAAGCAGGACCGGGGAAAAGGTAATGGGTGAGCTAATTTCTACAAGAGGAAGGGACAGAGAAGGAAAGAGCAAAGCCTGGAGGCAATTGTTTACTTAAAACACAAAAGGCAGGAGCAAATCTCCTGGCAAGAGCTGCCAACCTTTACATATAGGTGTAGAAGTAGATGTCGATGCGCTTGTATTCAATATGAACGTGGGTATCGTGAAGTCCATGGCCGTCTTGGGCATCGGAGGGTTGGCTTACAGTCCAGTACATTTTTCGTGATTCAGCAAATCAATCAAAGCCTATTGGGTGCGATCAGTATGATCAGGAAGTGACCAAATATAGCCAATTCGGATCAGATGCAGCACATCAGGCTCGTGCAGCAGCCCTTACCATCATGCGTAAGGGTCTAGGCTACAGTACCGCAGTGTCGGTCAGACATCTATCAGTTGTAGGCCAGCGATTATGGCAACTCAGTTTGCCCGGGTAACGTTATCCTCCCCGACTGCTGAGAAGACGAAAGGAGCAAGGGTATCCAGGTGTGGGCCAAACTTCGCAGGTGCAGTTCTTGCAATAACGCCAATTGCAGCGATCAAGTGCCGACGCTGCACCATAGAAATATTGGAAGACAATGTTTTCGTTAGATTGGACACAAAGTCGTTGAGCTGGGTATCGGAGAAGTGGAGCACAAGCGCCGAGATGGCTGTCAGGGCGCGCTTGGTGACAACAGTTCCAGCCGTGTCGTTTTGGATGATGGCCATGACGGATACCTGGAGGGCAGCAAGCTCCGACTCTTGGAGAAGAGGACCAAAGCATGTCACGACCTTGATGAGCACATCGATGGCATCACTGCTGAAGCCCCGTGATGGATCCTTCTCCATCATGCTCTTCACCATTGAGCCCCGCCGCCCTGTGCTTGAGGGTGTCGGCCCGGTCAAACGGGGGACCAGGACCTTCGAAACTGCCGAGTATGCCGTGATCGCATTTTGAGATGCTGGTTGGCCCGACTGGGGACGAGGGAGGGTATCGACGATGACGCGAAGAGCAGTGTTGGGGACGGATGTGTCTATCGTCTGGGAGGCAGTCAGACTGGCCAACTGCTCGAGGAGAGGTGTAAGGGATTCAAATGGCAAGCGAACAGCGAGAGGACCGAGACTGGTTCCATTTAGATATCAGCAAGACCACAGGGGAAGAATAGCGCTCAGTACGAACCATTTGAGGGCCTGGTTCTGCACATCCCCGTGTTGATCATCCAGGGCCTTGAGCAGACCTTCTGCAAGTTTTGTTGATGTGCCACGGTCATGAGAGAGGAATGAAGAGTTCGGGTTGGTCAGGATCCCATATAGATCGTTCAAGGACATGTATCTCAAGTCGGCATCGGGGTCATCAAGCTTCGCTAGCAGACTGTAAATTGTCTGCTGGGTAACCTGGCGGTCCGCCATATTGTGACTGTTATCGGTAAATAAGGTTGACGGGGAGCTCAGCCAAGGTGACGAGTGAAGGAGTGGATATGAAGGCAACCGGGGAGAGCTTGCGGTGGTAACTTTTGATAAACGCCGCAACGTGGGGTGCTCCCGCCTAAGGTGTCAACTATTTATGGCCTAAGGCACTAAATTACAACTATGCGACAACTTCTCCAAGTGTCCTTATTAACACAAAATATCTGTTTAGGGATAATGCATTTTCGATTATTATACATACGGAGCCATTATACCAATGAAGTTGAGATTAAATATTTGAATGTTCTCCAATTATTTGATCTGATAATCAGATAGACCGTTGAGGTCCACACGATATCGAACTACATATGTACATATGTAGGTTTCTAACCACTTAAGAATGGCAGTTTGATACCATACCAAGTTGTTGAAAGTTGTACCCTCAGCTCTTTTACAAGAACCGTTTACTGGTAAATCACCAAAGCCAGTGTGTTCTTGAAGTACCGAGTACTAGGTAACTACCTAGCTAGCGCAGCCACGCCCATTACATCATAACGCACGGACCAACTCGGAAACAACCAAGCTGCGGTCTTACGACACCTCCGGCTTTACTTGCGAAAACCGGGAAGCTTGTACTGTTAACTGGACTTGGCAGATCATCGACTCTACTCCATACTACCTAGACAATTACTCCCAATCGTACTTTCCATTTTCTCTATCCCTTCTAGTCTATTCGTACTCAAGTTGCTACTACACAATGGTCTTTGCGCGCCGTTCAATCTTCCGCGCTGCGAATGCAGCTCAGTCCTTCCGTGTCGCTCCTATTGCCCGCCAGTCTGCTCAGTTCCTTGGTCGCCGATTCAAGTCTACTAGCGGCAGCTATCAGCAAGGGCATACATCCAGTGATTTGCCTTGGTGAGTTTGTGTTCTTGGTTCCGAGCAATTGACTCGGTATTCTAATGTGTCTGATTGTAGGCTCGCGGTGTCTACTACTGTGACCGTTCCAATGGTCTTTTACCTCTGGCCTTCCAGTTCGGAGGGACACCACGACGCTCACGGGGACGAACATAAGGACGAACACGCGAAGGAGGGCGGCGAGGTAGAGGAGGCTTCTGAAGAGAAGCCTGCCGATCAGAAGTCTGCTGAGGGTTCTTCTGAGGCGGCACCCAAGCAGGAGGAAGAGATGGACGCCGAGGAGAAGGGCGAGGATAAGGGCGAGGAGAAGGCGGATAAAAAGGGAGAGCCCGAGGAGAAGAAGGAAGAGCCCAAGGACGAAGATAAGGAGGAGAAGCCCAAGGATGATGACTCTAGGGAAAACAAAGATGACGAGAAAGATGACTCCAAGGAGGAAGAGCCTAAGAAGGATGAGCCAAAGGAGGATGCTGGGAAGAGCGAGAACGATGATGGCGAGTCAAAGAACTGAAGACGCTTTGCTTTGCCTTCGGCAGCCACAGAACCAAGCCTGTTGATGATATTTCAACATGTTAATGTTTGATGTTCTTGCCCCATAGTGTTTATGTGCCTGTACCCTACCAGATACGAGATATGAGATACATATTAGCGTGTCGAAAAACGATGGCTTATTGGTCCATTCTGCCGATCCAGTCTAATGGAGTTAGTCATTTCTCTATACTTACGATATAGGGCTAAGCCTTTTTAATACCTTTTGCGATCTTTTTAGAGGCCTCTTTTATAATCAGTTACGAGCTAGAATATGCAATCCACTGTACCCTTTTCGCTCCTTTAACGTAAGAGCATGCCCTGAAACACTAGAAAAGAAGTGAAGAGAGCAATATCACTACATTAACAGCTAAAAAGAATTGGGGAAAACAAGAGGAGATATGCTACCTCCACGAAGTCCCACGTGACACCCGAAGCCCTTTGTCTGGGCAGTGTTTGACAATCGATCCACGATCAACATAGCTTGAATAGAAGGCCTAGACGTAGATTATATGTAGATGTGTATGTATGTGTGAGGAGGAGACTAGCATCTCATTTAACGCTGAGACAAACCGGTGCGACATCCTATCTGCAAATTTTAAACACATTGCTCGCTAGTACTAGGTGAAAAGGGGCATTAACACGATGTGATAGATATCATCGTAGCTTAGACCTTGGAGTCATATTCTAAATTACATTCTTGAATATATAGAGATGTGACTCCCTATGCAGGTAGGTAATATACCACGCCTCTCGATCTTTAAAACAGACAGAAGACACAATTCTATCATTGATAGCACAACATAAAGCTACCAATATACTTGCTCAAGCGTCAAACTTGTACTTCTCCTCCCGGTCCTAAACAAAAGTCAGCAAAATATTCAAAGACAATCAAGAAGAAAACATACCCAATACTTATTGAACCCAACTCCCTCACAAACCTGATCATAAGTCAAAATCATCGGCGGAGCTCCAACAAGCATACTCTGCTTAAGACCATCCAAAGCAGATCGCACACTCTTGAGATGTGCCGCAACCAATGCCCAAGGGTATGCAACGGCACTATATCCAAGCCCAGCAAGGTCCTTAGCCGACAGGTTCTCCGTCTTTCCACCTTCAATGATATTACCGAAAACGGGAATATCGATTTCCTCCGCACACCGCTTCATCGCCTCCGCATCCGGCAGCGCCTCGACGAAAATAGCATTGACACCGAGACGTTTGAACTCTTGTGCACGCGCCATAGCCTCTTCCCAACCATGAATCAAGGCGTCAGTACGGGCAAGGATGAAAATATCCTTTCCTTCATTGCGGGCATCGCAGGCAGCTTGGATTCGAGCGAATGCTTCACCGCGAGAGACGACGCTCTTCCCCTTTGTATGACCGCAGCCTGTTAAAATACCCGCTGTTAGCAAATGACCATCCCGTCAAAGCCACCAATATCCGGAATACTCACGTTTCGGCCATTGCTGGTCCTCGATCATAACACCAGCCGCACCAGCGCTAGCAAAGCTCTCAACAGTCCTCTTGACATTCATCGGGCTTCCGTAACCAGTATCACCATCCGCCATAACGGGAACCGAAACCTGGCGCACGGCATCGCGGATCTTATCGCACATCTCGGCCATGGCAATGTATCCTGTATCAGGGAGACCATAGGAACTGGCGACGGCATAGCCCGCGAGGAAAACAATGGGAAAGCCTGCTTCTTCTACGAGACGGGAGGAGAGGCCGTCGTAGCTGCAGGCGTGTGCTATGATCTTGGCTGGGTCATTGTGGGCCTCCAGCATCATTGTTCTCAGGCGGGATGCTTGGAGGGAGGGGATCTTTCCTCGGACATTCTTCAATGTCAGGTTTAAGTCTGCTGGCTTTCCGTCTTTGGCCCCGGTTGTTGTCTCGGCGAGAGAATCGAAGTGGAAGGGGTAGGGGACTGTGTTGGAAGACATTGTGAAGGTTGGGCTTCTTGGATTGGTAGAGGATTCAAGTGAATATTGGCGATGAATTGAGTCCTATTGACGGGTTTTAAGCTGCTTAAATGCAATATCGGTGTGCTTTCATTGTTTTCCATCAGAGCGGGAATTCGACGGATATTGGCAACTATCCGCTACCCGAATGACGACCAGCCCAGCCCTTCCCCCTCAGCAATGAAGCGTTCGGATTGGCCAAAAAATAGCCTGGGGAAAGTCAATAGGTTCCCCGTATTTACTCCGCCGTGCGTTCAGAACACCCGTCATTTTGCGGGGAACCCAGCAGATGCAGCTTCTATCCGCGCTCCTCCCCACGGGGTGTAGAAGGCTTGGCATGCTGAGGTTCAATATCTGTACTTCTATTGGACCCGCGCTATACGATCATCCATCAATTGCCGCACGTTGACTGCCGCGCATTGACCAGCAAGGGAGGGATATATTTCAACCTGGGGTTGGCCCCTATCACTACTGATCTCAAGCTCAGCAAATACTCCAGCTATTAAACGTCTCCAAACTATCAAATACAGTCAGACATGGCGGAAAAGAATCAGGCCGAGCAGTGCCCAATCTCTCAACATTTGGAGTCTAATGATCCAGACAAGCACCAGCCCCAAGTGGTGATCCCTCAAGAGCGCCAGTCGGTCATTCGCAGAAAGGTTCATCATTGCTTTATTAGTATTATTACTATATTTCTGATTTTTTGCTTACTATTATCTAGTTTGATCATCGTGTCTTGCCGATTGTATGATTCTATACATTCTATCATACTTGGATCGAGGTAAGCATACCCAACTCACTCATTTAACACTCTATCTCATCAATAACCGGGAAATATCGGCAACGCCAAGACTGCCGGACTCGACAAAGATCTTAACTATTAACCTCAGTGACTACCAATGGTCTTGGGTCTTGTATGCCTTCTATATCTGCTACATCCTGTTCGAGTGGACTACGGTCCTATGGAAGATTCTCCCAGCACATTCCTACGTTGCCTTTCTCTGCGTTTGGTAAGTTTCTGAATCCATACTCTTGTTTGTATTGCTAAGCATGCTGGCTTTAGCTGGGGCGCAGCTGCAATGTGCAGTGATGCAGTCAACACCTTCGCTCAGCTTCTCGCCACTCGGTCATTGTTGGGTATCTTCGAAGCTTCCTCTCTTTGTTCTACCAAAGACAAGAACCAGGGCTCCGCGTATCCTTACTCCTTGGGATGTCCCCAGTTGCCAATTTCTTTGCTTCTGCTCTTGCCTATGGTATTACCCACATCAGGGGATCTATAGAGCCATGGCGCTACCTATTTATCATTGGTGAGATAAAAGGTCGGTCTATTTCCATCTATTCTCAATACTAACTGCAAACAGAGGGTGTACCAACGGTTCTCTTCTCAGTGGTAGTATTCTTCTTCCTGCCCGACTCACCAGGCTCAGCGTCCTTCCTTGACGAAAGAGAACAAACAGAAGCAGTAGAGCGCCTCCAATCATTCGACACAACAAAGAAAAGCAAAGTCAGCTGGCCCCAAGTCCTAAGCGGATTATCAGACTGCAAAAACTGCATCCACATGTCCATCCACTTCTGTTGCAACTACTTCTTCGCGGGACTCTCAAACTTCCTCCCAACAATCATACAGCATGTGGGCTACACATCCATCAACGCTCAAGGCCTATCAGCACTGCCCTACTTCGTCTCCTTCCTCTGCTGCGTAGCAGCCGCCTTCCTCTCAGACAGATGGGGAAACCGAGGAATCCTAATTACATTGTTCGCTACGATGGCGACAATCGGATATCTACTCCTCACATGCGTGCAAGATGAATCAAAGACTGCGGCGCGGTATGCGGGTGTTTGGTTAGCGACTTGTGGGATCTTTCCTGCGCTCGCGCTAAACATCACTTGGTTGTTGAATAACCAGGGTGGCAAAAGTAAGAAGGGCGCTGGAATGGCTATGCTTGCTATTTTTGGACAGACTTCTAGTTTGATTAGTAGCTCTGTCTTTCCCGATTCTGATGCGCCGCTTTATACACTAGGGTGTGGGCTCGCCTGTGCGTTTACTGGGTTGATTGCTATCTTGGCTATGGGGCTGAGTATTAAATTGACTCTGGAGAATCGGAGACGCGATCGGGTTTATGGGGTTGTGGATGTCAATGAGAGGGTTGATGTCACTGATGCAGGTGATAATCATCCTAACTTTAGATATTTGACTTGAGGGGGTTTTGGATAGTTCGTTTTATTTGTGAGATACTAGTCGTTGTATTATTTGTTGACTGTCATGTGCTATTGAAAGCTTGAAATCTATTCTCTAATTATCTGATGCTATACTTCATGGAGGTAATTGCCCCAAAAAATCCAAATCCAAATCAACACCATCCATCCGAACCCCAAAATCCCCCTCTGTAGGTCCAAAAGGCGCCATAGAAGGATCCAAAGGCAAAGATAACCAGCCATTCATAGTAACGTCCGAGAAATCCCCCAGATCCATACCCGACATGTCGCCATACGAATTAGGAGAAGGGAGATCATTTGCGACCCCGGAGTATGAGGATACTAAACTTTCTCGCAGACGCGAGACTTGGACTTGTAAAAGAGCCGCATAGTGGGATTTCAAATGCATATCATCCTGACTGCTATCCTGCAGTGTGAAGATGGCTCGATCGAGGATCTGGAGCGCTTCCTGCAGTTTTGAATTGCGTACTCCCAAAGCGAGGGCTTTCATAAGGAATATTGACGCGCTTATTGTCCGGAAGAGTATTCTCATTGGTGAGAAGTGTAAGGATCCACCCAAGAGAGTTACCTTGTCGAGGGTTTGGCAGCATCCGTCTATTACTTCTTCGAGGAAGCCATATTCTCTTGCTGTAATGTTTAGCTGCCTAGCGCGTTCGACGAAAGAGAAGTCAATGACTGAATCCCTTTGTGCTGAGGGTTGGGTATGGCTTTGGAGGACTCGTTGGACAATCCTTTGCATTCCAATGGAGTTGGTGAGGATGCGTAGATGTTGATACTCGATGAATAGGGTATCAGTGTAGGGGAAACTTGAGTCTACATAAAGTCAGTGGTAAACGTAGATCCTGGCCTTCCAATATCTTACCTGAGATATGGAGATATCGTTGTTTCCAGCTCGCCAACAGGACTTGTTTCCTCTCCAATACAGGGACGAATGTATCCGATGACCCAGCCGAGCTGGAAATATTCATGAGCGGGAAGAGAGTATCCGTGACCGAACTTGTCAACTTCATGAGTTCAATCCAGGACATACGTTCAAACCGTTTCGTGGGCTCAACGACATCTTCCCGCCATCGGGAGGATACTGGGATATCTTCATGTAGAGAAGGCGGATCTCTGACATCCGGGTTTGTCATGAGAAAGTCTGAATCCCATCCGTCCGCCTCTGGTGGGAATTGTAATGCTCGTGGATGCCATTCAGACATGAGTAGTAATGATTCAATGCTTCCTATCGTGCGTGTTTTGGCTTTCGAGATTTTCTCCTGCCCGAGAGTAATCCGAAGAAGCAAGTGTTGGCAGTGTTGCCATAGCCGATGATGAATGAAGAATGAGCGAGAGGATCCGCCAACTCCAGGAAGAGTGTGGTATCAAGAGGAAATCATGAGTATAGTGTAGCAGAGCATTGGTTCCTGGGTTACTAGATAGTATTGATTTTTATGCGAGGCGAAAAAGTCTGTGAGGACAGGCGATAGGGGTGCCATGTTTTCGAAGAATCTGGATATTTTAATGTTAATATAGCAGCCCACGGATCTGATAGAATGTATAACATACAGGTCCATCAAAACCACGGCTTCCTGGGCAGAGAACCATCCCATTCTCACGAATCGACATGCATTCCAAATGCGGAGGACATCGGCGTTGGTCGGTTCGGGGGCTACTGATCGTGAATTATCTGTCGTTGACATATTTTGAGAGGGATCATTCGATTCCTGAAGCGCTGCCTCGAACAAAATATTCATTGCATCGTTGTTGTTCGAAACCACTGTCTCTAGTACTGATGTGGAAAGACCATCTTGATTGACCGGCACATCTAAACGAGAGTCTGCTAGCTGAGCATTGATTAGCTGCAATTTATCTCCTCCACAGTTTATATAGCACTTACCATCAATCTCTTTGTTTTCATCGGTCCTTCGGGTAGTTCGCCGTGACCTGTATACGTTAATCCCACTCTCTCAGGCCTAGGGGAAAACGCACTCATTAGACCCGTCTCTTCCTGTATTTTTGCGGGTCGGTATGTCAAAAGAATTCTTCACGTCTCTTGACTAGGGTTTCTTTGAAGTAAAAGTGCAATTGATATCCTTCTTGATGCGTCTGCGGCATCTCACACTGTCGCCAGCCTCGCACTTTACTTTGCGTCGCGCACATGGAACGCAAGCCTTGTATGTCCGCTGATACTTATATTCAAGAGATCCTCTCCCTCTTCCCTTTGTACGGTCCATGAATGCTATACAGGGGCGGCGATGCAAGACTCGAGTGGAGCGGAAATTAGACGAAATACCCGCGCTCGGGTATTTCAGTTTTCGACCCCTCACTGAGCATAGCGACTACTAGCGACTTTGGTCTTATTGGCTTGTGAATGCCTGTTCAAAGTAATGTCTATACTTCAATTGTGATTTCGACTTGATTAGTTTTTTTATATATAGGTGCAGGATAGTCAGGCACAAGCTGGAATATGTCATTCTTCGTCGCTCTTTTGATGTCCAATAACAAGAGCCTATCTTAGAGGCACAAAAGAGGAATAAGAGAGATCAATACCACTATATTGGTCTAATAGATGAGACCAGAGGGAAAAAGAGAGAGGAAGGGGAGCAAACCATCTCAACAAAGTCTACGAATCGGGCTACAAAGGAGATCCTTAATGGAGAAACTATGCAGTTGATTCCTAACAGAAGAGACGGACAAAGAGGGGAGAGAGAGAGAGAGAGAGAGAGCTATCTATCTGCAGGCAAACAAGCAAACAGAATCTGTCTCAAGGATGCCTGACTGATCAGACATCAAACACAAACCGAACAGCACGTGACACGTGAAGCCCTTTGTCCCGGCAGCGTTTGACACGGGAATTGGAGTTTTGGAGATTAGACAGGCCAGAATCTATTGTCTAGGCCTAGACTGCTAGTTTACTCTACATGATCATGGCATCATTTCCACTAGAGGAGGACTAAGGGTTGAGAACATAATGATGCAGCTGGTTGAAGGCCTAACTCTGCAATAGTGACATTTGCAGCAAACCACAGATCATGAACGCATGCAAGTACTGCCCGCCACGGCACTTTCCACCATCACAAACCAGTGCGGTCCCCATTATGGACCAAGACAGACATGAAACAGAAAGCAAGCCGTTGAAACAAATGAAAGAACTCCCTAGTCCCATGTAGACGGCAGAGAACTCTGATAAACAGCATAGAAAGCTCCGGAAGGCAGTCGATCGAAATCTTCGTCCAGGAAATCCTCATGGAGTCTCTCAATCAGATAGTCCAGGGGAATGATTTCTTCGTCTTCGCCTGGCACCCCCTCGAGGAAGCTCACCCAGTCGAAACGACGATCTCCAATAATATCAGCCGTGGCCCAAACAATCTGGATAAGACTCCATTGGCGATTGATGTTGACATTTCCATAGCCGCTGATGCGTTCCCACCACTGCTGCCACGCGGGGCGTGCGGTAGAAGCATTGCAAGAGGCCACAAAGGCTGGCCAGGTGACAGGCTCTTCTCTCATGGTAATGTCGGGTTGAATCAACTCTTTGATATCTTCGACTCTGTGGAGGCATCCCAGTATCGTACTATCCATACAGCGAATATCGGGATGACCAAACAATTTGTTGACGCAATTCTGGTAGTAGAGGAATGCACCGATGTGCCAGGCTAGCTTGAGGTTTGCATCGATGACTGCCTCTTCATCACAGCCAGAAAAGAGATTCAGCGTAGGTATGCCAGCTGGGATATTTTGGTCCAGGAGGAATCGAAAGTTCTCCATGTGGTTGCGTAATTCAGTCGGGAAAGGTATTTCTGCTGTTCCATTGGACGGGATTGCTCGGCCGATGACGCCGATGTTATGGATGGCACATGCGAGAGTGAGCACACTGCCCCTGCTCGATCCCCACGGCATCATAGACTCGGTGGATGTCTTGGTAAGTTGAAATTGATGAGACTTTAGACTGAATGAGAAAGCGGAATTTTCATGGGATAGAATATGTAAACAAAAGAGTCACGATGTTTAGATCGCGTCGCCTTCCAAGGTTGGTTACCTGGCTTAGTCGTCGCCGACGCGCGCGCATCCTGACCCGTGGAAATTGAACGTCCATTATATATATACATTAAAAACGCTGGTCATGGCAAGCAGCCAGAGATCATCAAAGCTTAGACTATGAAGACCAGCTTTGGTTTTCTCGTGTGATTTGAGAAATATAATATCTATATGTCACAGCCAGTTTCTGTTGGAAGAATTCTACTCAATCAAAGCCTGTGTGGGTTGTTCATTTTCTAGCTATTTTAGCAGGCCATTGAAGGAGAAGCATGAAGAAAACGAATTCAATTAAGGGAATCGCCATTGGTACTTGGGTGTGGTATCCTGCCTGGACATTACAGATCCAGAGATTGAGAGGAGAACAGGAATAAACAGGGACCGGAAACCCCAAAGCAAACTAGAACAGCTCAAATGTATGGTAGTGTTCAATAATAGAAACCAAGCGTTTCAAAAACAGCCGACAAAGGAAGTCTGTGGGGCCCTTGCATAATCTCCAACCAGCTGAAATCGACCTCCCCTGGCTCGTGCGTCACATCAATGAGCTCCCAAAGCCTCTGGATAACCCTCCACTGAGACCTGACATCCCGAATACCATAGCCTTGAATTGTGAGCCACCAGCATGCCCAAGGGTAGCGGTCAATGGCATTGCAGGATGCAACAAAAGCTGGGAAGGTGACGGGGTAATCTCGGTACATGAAATCAGGTTCCAGCTGTGCCTTGATCTCTTCTGCGCGGAGCAGACACATCAAGATCGCATTCACAGCAAAGGAAACGTCGTCGACGAAAGAGTTGTTGATTCGATTGTGGAAATAAATGCATGCCGAGAGATACCAGGCAACTTCGAGGTTGTTGTGAATTATTTCCTGGGCGCCCAAGCCGGAATCAAGGAAAAGGGGGATGTCATCATCAGGTCGAAAGGTCTGCAGATGGGAGGACAATGAATCGATACCTGCAATGAATCGCTCTGGCAGGGGGGCTTTGAGCAGTTCGTATCTTTCGATTGCTTCTGCCAATTTGTCTGTCTGCGTGATGGCAAACAGGGTAAGGTGTGTAGCGCCGTCCAGCGAGCCGAACGGTGAGTTCATTGGCATGGTGACTAGTTAAAGCAGTGACCAGACGGTTGTGGTATGTGCGGTGATCGGTAGAGGAGGGAAGATGAAGCTTGACGAGGAAGAGGTAGTAATTAAAGAAGTTATGCAAAATAAATACTCGAAGTAGGAGTCATATGAAAAGGGAAGGACATTATAGCTGCTATTCGTATATCTTTCGTATGATGGAATTCGGTACATGTGTATTGCAATCGTTGCCTAGACGCTGTCATGCGAATATCATCAATACTAGGATAATCGTACTACGATACTATTGAGCCTATCAATTCTACGATAATCGTACTATGTAGGCATCGCAGCGTTGTCAATTGATTCGAAAGCTGGGGGAAGCGTAATAGGAAGCAATAATTGTTAAGGGCAATACATAATCAGGTTATTGTTAATGGCATCATCTTGGATAGAACATGCCGGATGGATATAAGAATAAAGCATTATAGGTGGTAGCGTTGAGCGTGTGATTAGGCCTACTGCAGTATATGGATTGGCACTCTTTACGTGAGCTGTGGACTGAAAGCCCTAGAGAAACCAATTCCGACAGGCAAAGGATGTTTCCTAACAAGTTTATTTAAGAGAGATTAAAACAAGGTATGGAGTTATAAGCGAGGCTATAAAAGGTAAGGCTAGGTATTTGAGTTTTGATACTACATACCTACATATGTACATATGTAGGTTGCTTTCTTACGTTCGAAGAATAGAAAAATGGCAGCAGTGACTATGTATGTATATATGTGCGTATTTACATGCAGCCTTTCGTACGGTAAGATTTGTATCCAGACCAGTTCAAAGGTGCGTGAATCCGGAAGGAACTGGAAGCTCTATCTTGGAATTGAGATCCCAATTCACTACCCAGGTGGTTTCTTTCTTTCTTACTACCTCAAACCTTCATCAGTCTGGTCTATCGCCATCGTTCTGGTCATTGCCCTTATTTCCATTGCCGTCCTTGGTGTTTCGTGCCTGATTCATCCCAGAATGGGGAATAAACGGTAATAATCCCTTCTCTATTGTAGATAAACTTCATTGCTCACAATACTCGAATTGCAGCAAATGCGACCCGCATTACCGTGCTAGCGACAGATTCCAAGCATAGAGGCGGGAAGATTCAAGTCTCTCCTCATAGGCTTGAATGCCGTGGCTGGCCACGATTCGAGGCTCTAATACTGTCTCCTGATACGAAGGAAAGAGAGTTGGGCCAGATTCCGGTCAATTCCACATTCCAACCAATACACCAGGCGTCCTACGCCAGTAACCCCGGCCTACAAAAACAAACGATAGGAAACTGCTTCCTACATTACAAGCATGACTCCACCTCGGTTCCAATGTTCAACGCAGTCTGGCCTACGGCTCCGTGAAGCATTCTTGACATATCGGTCTTCTGAAGTGGCCACCCCCAATACACACCTCGGCCTCATTTTGTTTCGACAACCTCCTCTGCGCTTGCAATGTCTGGCCATAGGGGCACTGGTAGTGGCTCATTCCGAAGACTTGGAAATCTACTGCGTCTTCATATGGAGAAAGAACCAATGCAGATCACTCAAAACCTCAAATGAAAGACACTTGCCTCTCTTAAACATATGACGGTACCTGAATAGGATGATTGGTCGTCGCGCGCTGGGAAATCTTTGTGGCCCAAATATCGCACGAACAAAATTGCCAAGTCTAGGATCGACACAATCGAATCTTCTTAATTATCTGGCTTCTAATAATGTGTGTGACCGGTTCCGATTCCGCATTATTTGTTCTGGTTTCTTTTTTCATTCAAACAAGACTTTCTGGACCTTGGTCTGTTGCAGAGAAGACAGTTGTTATGACTCGCCAATTCGCTATTTCCATCAATATGACACCAATTTCTACATTTTATGAGCATATTAAGAGTAATCTGAAGAAAAAAATGATGACTGTTGTAACTCTCAATATTTAAGTTTAGCTTATAGATAATAGAGATTGGGCGAAAGTAGTGTACGCATGTACATATATAGATATTGCTTTTCGGCTCCAGGGTAGAGAAGCCGGCATATAGCATCTAATTCCCCGGGAATCATCCATCGCCTTGTCTAATATCATGTTGCTGGGTGTAGTTTTGTCTGAAAAGAAACCAAGCTGAATTGCTTACACTAAAGCCATACAGAGTTGGGAGGTTTCTTTGAGGATTCCATATTTGCTTGGTAAAATGACATGAATTCAAAGAGAGACATCAAAAGCGACAGTAGTATGTTACTACGAAGATAGATGAAGCGCATGAATGACAATAGAACATTAAAAGACTGGCAATCCAGTAAAAATTACTTAATTCATATGCTCGTTAAAAACAAGCGCCGGCGCCCGCTCTTCTAAAGGGCTATCTAACAGGCGCACCCAATGCACCGTACTCAGACCCAGCTCCCACAAATACATTAACAGCATATCAACACATCCAGAGGATCAACTGGAAACCACCCGATCCAAAAGTATAACTATAACACGGTGAAAATCCCCGGCTTTGATGCCTGGGTAATCGATTGAATGATAATCGACCAAACTCCAACCTAAGAGCTCGGCCTATGCCTTTCTGCTGCGAGTCCGAGGACCACGCTGCTCGGCGACGGGCTCGCCATTGAGCAGAACCTGGGGAGTGTGGTTCTCCTTGCTGGTCTGGTCTGCGCCAGTGGCAATTGCCTTAGTCGCATTGATGGGCTCAAGTTCTTCTTCTTCATCTTCGTCCTCGCTGCGCTCGTCCTTTGTAACATTGGTGAAGATGTAGTTGGCCAGGATGCGCAGGATCAGGAACAGCCAGAACAGATTGACGGCCTGCAGACTGGCGAGCAGCGCAAAGGTGATGTACTGACTGATCCAGCACTTGTACTGCTGCGTCTCCCAGTTCAGCTCGAATGGTCCAACAGTGCGGAACTCGGTCAGAACAGCCCAGAGGATTTTCAGATTCAGCACATGACGCAGGTAAATCCACCACCCAACGAACATGGTAAAGTAGGGCGCAGTGATATATGCATCCAGATAATTGAGCGTCTTGGAGGTGGCCAAAAAGAAGTCCGAGATATCGTGCGTGATATACACCGCCAAGCCCATATACGTGAAGTGGAAGCGGTAGCTCAGCGCGATAAGAGCAAGCGTGATGATATGGTGACCAACCAGCTCCTTGAAATCCTTACGAGGCTTTTCCAACTGCAACAACAACACAATCGCCTGCTGAGCCCAGTAACTCGCCTCGAGCAGGTAGTATGCCTTGAACAAACCCTCGTGCTCGCGGTGCGGGAAGCCTTCGAACATCGCCGTTGTGTTGAAATACCAGATAGTCGAGCGCTTCATCACGTACAGACCAAACGGCCCAAACACACCGAAGTACACTGCCGTATACGCCTGCTCCATGAACCGCGCCGTCTTCCCCTTCCCGCGGATACCGCACCACACCGCAAATGGCCGGATCATCTGCTGCATGATGAATTCGCGCGTGAACGACAGCACGATGGTGTAGAACGCCACAAATGCAATGTCCTTCTTGCCCTTGCCGTACATGATGGGTCCGCCGGGAGTCTTCGGGGGCTGCGGGTAGGATAGGAAGATGGCGCTGTGCATTGGGTTCGAGGTGGTGGGGTTAATGGCGTACAGCGCGATCAGGAAGAGCATTAAGAGAAGCGGCAGGAGCCAGGTGTGTCGCAGACAGGTATCCGCGAAGCGGTGGAGGAGGGAGCGGGTGCGACGTCGTTTTGGCTGGGCCTTGCTGGCCTGTTTTTGTGTATCGAATGGCTAGCGGGATCGGTTAGTTCGGGGGATTGCATGCGCGATTGACATTTCAAGGCGTACCTTCCGATCTGGTGATGTTGGCTCGATCGGACTCACTTCGTTCATTGTGGACATTGCTGGCGCGCTGGTGTCACCTCGAATGTCCACGCCCAAGGCTGAGCTTCCCCGCGGGCGGACCATGATGTAGGAAACTAGCTTCGTACCCTTTTCGGACTCGGAGGGTTCGGACTCACGTGCTCCAATGGAAAGAGATGAAGAGAGGAAATGAGAAGAGAAAATTGATCATAGCCCGGAACGATCGGATAAGAGAGGATCTTGAAAGGGTGATCATCCTTTTTTTTTCCAGGGGTGAACTCCACCAGACAGCTTTTCCAGCTCCGATCGGAAAGTCTTGGCACTCCTCTTACAATTCGCTCTTTTTCGCAAGATCCTATATACATCCTGGGCTGGTTTTGAATCTGTCTACAATTGCCAATCAAAACGTCTACACTTGCGAGGCTCCCGTGGACAACGCCAAGATGCTCATTTCACGATTCAGACACGTATACGACCGTACGGACCCGGATACGAGGAAATTGATAGAAATGTTGATCAGACTGAGTTCGTGGTTATATGCAATTGGGTCTTCGGGCGGAAACACTCAAAGCCTGTCACGAATTCTTTTCATTAGCTTTTTGGCTCTGTTGAGTCGCATTATATTTGGCTAGAGTTTAAACTGATGATATCTTGAATTCTACTCATCCATTATACTGTCCGATCTCCATAACGTATTTCACCAGCGAGTGGCCACCACAAGCGAGCGGCCACCCACCATGCCACCAATTCGCTCTCAATCCTCTAGAAATTCAATAGAGCAAGAGGGTAGGCTTTTATTAGCTATCCAGGCTTTTAAAAATGGAGATATCAGCTCTATTGCTCTTGCTGCGCGCACTTTCAATGTCCCGCGTACAACTCTCCGCCGCCGCCTAAGCGGTGTTCAAGAACGCGCGATTTCTCGCGCTAATTCACATAAATTGACGGAAACTGAAGAGGAATCTCTTCAAAAATGCATTCTCTCTATAGATTCTCGTGGATCAGCCCCCCGCCCTTCTACCGTACGAGAAATGGCGAATCTTCTCGAAAAGCGCGGAACCACCCCGGTTCCTTCGGTCGGCGAAAATTGGGTTTCAAATTTTATGAAACGGCATCCTCTTCTTTCCTCCCGGTTCTCGAAACGATATAATTACGAGCGTGCGAAATGCGAAGACCCGAAAATCATTAGGGAGTGGTTTAATCTTATTCAAAAAACGATCCTTCAATTTAGAATCGACCCCGATGACATTTATAACTTCGACGAGACCGGTTTCGCGATAGGATTAACGGTAACCGCGAAGGTTATTACGAGAAGTGAATACTACGGTCGACGAGTACTTTTACAACCTAGAAATCGTGAGTGGGTGACGGCGATCGAGTGTACGAATACTTCCGGGTAGGCGCTTCCTCCGTGCGTGATTTTTAAAGGCAAAGTCTTGATTGAATCCTGGTTCGACAGCGGCCTCCCGAGTGATTGGCGATTCGAAGTGAGTCCGAATGGATAGACCTCCGATGAAATTGGACTTCCGTGGCTCGAAAAGCTCTTTATTCCTACTACTTCTTCGCGTACGAAGGGGGGGTATCGGCTTCTAGTACTCGATGGTCACGGAAGTCATTTAACTAGGAAATTCGACAAAATCTGTGAAGAAAACAAAATCATAACAATCTGTATGCCTCCGTATTCATCTCATCTTTTACAACCTCTCGATATCGGCTGTTTTGCGGTCTTAAAACGGTCGTATGGTCGGCTAGTTGAATCAAAAATGCGGGTTGGGATAAATCATATTGATAAACTTGATTTCCTCGAAGCATACCCCCTCGCACCAATTGAAGCCTTTAAATCGGAAACTATTAAAAACAGCTTCGGAGCAGCCGGTTTAGTCCCTTTTTCACCGGAGAGAGTGATTTCAAAACTTGATATTCGGCTTCGAACCCCGACCCCCCCCTAGCCGGGGTAGTGAATCAAGCCGGAATTTCACCCCAAAAACCCCCTTTACAGAGAAAGAACTACGTCGGCAGGCTTCGTCGATTAAAGCTTTACTTCGTACGGGATCTCGAAGCCCACCTAGCCCGTCAGATCGTGCATTAAACCAGCTTATAAAAGGCTTCCAACTCCAGATACAAAGTCATGTTCTACAAGCGCAAGAAATCAAGGAATTACGCGCCGCCAACCAGAAGTAGAAGCAAAAGCGTACTAGATCCCGGGGGCAGATACCTGCCGAGGGGGCCCTCTCAGTTCAAGAAGCATCTGCATTAATTATGCAGCCGGTGGAAGCAATGGAAGCACCTATACCCCCGCCACGAAGAAGGCCTTCGCCACCTTTACAGCCAAGAACTAGGGCTTTACCAACATGCGGGCTATGTAAAAATCAGGGCCATAGGAGAGATGCATGCCCAGATAGATGATGATTTTAGTGTATTTAATTTAATGGCGTTTTGGTTGAGATAGTGCATTTAAATTTAATATATGCAGGTGGGGTGGCCGCTCGCTTGTGGTGGCTTTCACTCGCTTGTGAAATACGTTAGTAGTTTGTCCAGTTTGCCTGCCTGAAAATGGCTTTTCGAAATTCCATGTGCTTGCCTTTTTTATTTATTTTACGCCGTAAGCAATGGCTCGTTCTATGTCGAATCCGCTTCACTAACTCTACACAGCTTGCTGGGGTTGCACTCGGAAACGAATATTCTTTATCTTCGAGGATTCGAGGATGGTGAGATTACCTCGGTCTGTGTTTCCTTTTGTACCGCCAGATTTCTGTCAACTAAGCTCTATTCGTACCTCGGGTTAGACCATGTCATCACAATGAGGCAATTCTTCTCGAAGGGAATCACTTCGATGAATTTGAAACCGTACCTGTTACTCTACAGTTATTTACCTATAGGGTGTCAAATCGGAATATTCTCTATATTCTCTAAATGCGCCTGCCTTGATGATGATGCCTCCGGGGACCAGCCTACTAGGCGGAGATGATATCTTAGAGGGCCTCCCGCCTAGCACGCATAGGTATCAATACGAGTGTGAGCAGCAGTTTCTCGACGTTATGTTCCGGGAACATGATCTTTGGTCACGTGGAGAGACCAACGAATTCGTCGTCTTCATCAACTTAGACGAGCGCACCTTCCATCGCGGTTTCCTCGAATCTAGCGAGAAGCTGATAAACAACTCCTGGCAATCTTACTCCTCGTTGTCTCAGTGTCTCCACGCAAGAATGAAGACTGGAACCCACGAAGAGCTCCACTTCGCATTTTACGATCTGTTGAGAGAAAAGCTGGTCCCAATGGGCCTCGGCCATTCGCTGCATAGACAAGGGGGTCGTACTACTTCCGGTGGCCCCAAAGGCAAGCAGGCCGACAACGGCCTCTACCCACGACGCCTTCCGCCTGGACGCACAGACAAGTGGCCCTCGGTTGTAATCGAGGTGGCTTTCTCAGAGTCGAAAACCAAACTTCGATGTGATCTCGATTGGTGGCTTTCTCAGTCAAACGGAGATGTCAAAACCGCAATCAGTCTCTCCACCAACAAGTCGAAACGAGAAATCATCATTGAGGCAAGGGAAATGGTCGAAGGCTCAAAGGGAAGAGCACCAGCACTTCAGCAACAAGTTGTCATTCGGAAACAGACGGCCGACAGCATTACCAGCGTGACAAATGCGCCTTTTACCATTGCGTTCGAAAGTCTGTTGCTGCGTCCAACGACCCAGCCGGCAGAAGGAGATCTTGAACTCACGGAAGATGATCTACAGAAATTGGCTGAAGAGGTCTGGGAGACACAGTCGTTTAGAGACCGCACAATGGAAATGGGCGATCACTTATCTGAGGACGGCATGTGAACGGGGCTTGCGTCTTACAATTTATTGAGGTTGGGTCTGAAGGGAGGAAAGCTATGAGAAGCGCGTTATTCATTATTAGCAAGCAATAGTAAGTTATTCCCTAGATACGGCGAGAGATTCATCTCGACCTAAAGGACGGATAAGGTTATTCCCTATTGTCCCTTGCGGCGTGTAATGGCCACCAAATGATGGTGAAGCTGTCACTGGAGCCATCTATCCACTCATTCTATATACACTCAACACTTATGCGTTCTCAGTGTGAGCGGCGGCACGCTTCTCGGAACCGGCTAGCTTCTCACCAATGATCTCAACATCACCCGACTCGGCAGCAATAGTGCGCTTAGTATCGTGGGTAGTCTTCCAGGCGGGGGTACCGATGTAAGGGATACCGTTGGGGTCCTCGAAGATCTGTTCAGTTTCCTCCAGAGTCTTACCAGCAGTCTCGGGGAACAAGAAGAAGACGTGAATAGTCATGGCAACCAAGAAAACACCGAAGATGATATATGTCTGCCAGCGGATCGTGGCAAAGGCAGAGGGGACGAACAGACCAAGCGCCGTGTTGAACGCCCAGTTGAACGAGGTTGCCAAAGAAACGGCCTTACCACGCACACGCAGAGGGTACAGCTCAGGAGGGTACACCCACGAGACGGGTCCCCAGGTTGGGGCATACGACGCCACGAACAGGTAGGTGCATGCAATCAGTCCCTTGGCAGGGGCGCCACTCAGAAGCATCGACTGCTCGGCCACGCCGTCAAGACCGCCGGGCACAACCACACCGTACTTGGCCATGATACCCGCGTTGGCGAACATCCAGGTCATCATTAGAAGAGCGCCGATCAGGAGCGTAGGACGACGGCCCCAGCGGTCAACCCAGATCAGGGCGGGCACGGTCATGACCACGTTGATGATGTACTGGATGGAGGAAGCGAGGAGGGTGGAATCACCCTCGTATCCAGCCATGTTGAAGACATAGGTGATGTAGTACATCATGACGTTCATACCGGTCAGCTGGGACCAGATTTGGGTCCAGACTCCGGTCATGGTGCGGTGGATCATCTTGGGCGTGAACAGCTCGAGGTAGGTGACGTCCTGGTTCTGCGCCTCGAACTCGCAAATTTCGCGGATCTCTTGCATCTCGGCCAAAACGAAGGGGCTGTTCATGTCGCCCTTGCCGTGGACTAGAGCCAGCACTGATTGGCAATCTTCCCAGCGGTCCTTGCGGGCCAACCAGCGAGGGGACTCCGGGAGGATCATCATTCCGAAGAAGAGGAGAACGGCGGGAACCGCCTGCAGACCCCAGGGGATACGGAAGACGGACTCGCTGTAGTTGTGGGAAGTAGACTTGTTGCCATGTCCGATGAATGAGCAGCCGAAGGAGATACTGTGGAAGAAAAGTGTCAGCTCCTGATTCACTTTTTGGAATGAAAACCAGGTGTGTGCCACGTACTAGTACATGATGAGAATACCCCAGGTGATAGCCCACTGTTGGGAGCCGACGAGACGACCGCGCTTAGAGGGAGGAGCAATTTCCGAAATATAGACAGGGACCTGAGCGGACTCAATTCCGACACTGAGACCGTTGATGACACGTCCGGCAACAAGCATACCCACGTTCTGGGAAGCACAAGAAATAACGGAGCCGATAATCCTAACAGAATGTTAGTCAGAACGGTCTAGCATCAATTCCACTCCAAACTATGCAACATGAAACCACCTACCAAATCACGCAGCCAACCATAATAGCATACTTGCGACCAAGACGATCCGAAATGAGACCAGAAATAAGGGCACCGAGCCAAGAACCAGCGGACATGGCAGCGGTAACACCACCCTGAGTCAGGGAGTCGAGACCACTGCAGGTGTCGTCGTCGTTGAATGGAGGGCCTCTAGGTCCTTGATTGAAATAACACCTATAAGCCGGCGTGCTGATAATGGCCGACATAGACGAGATATCGAAACCGAACAGTGCACCGCCAATGACGGCCACCGCCGTGATGGCGTAGAGATTCCCCACGACGAACATGGTGACTGTTAAACCCAAGCCAGGGGACGATGAGGGTGTAAAGAAAAAAAAGAAGAGATCTACAACAAACCGAAATGGAACGAGGAAAAACCTCTCTACTTAAATAGATCGCATGCCGGGAAAATTCTTCTCTACAGTATGCGACTAATAAAATCCACCCGCATATAGGTATTGTTCCGTTCTGTTTTCCTGCATCCCCACTGGGCTATCCCGTGTTTGGGATGTCTGGGGAGAGAGAAATTAGGGTAAAATATGTGACCATCTGTACACAATAACCGGGCTATGCCAAGACTCCGCTTGCGACCCCAGCTACCCCTGTGTACTCTGATTGGTGAAAACCAAATTATGGTTACCCACCCACTCTACGCTTATTGGTGGACATACCCCGGCAATGACTGGGATCCGGGGAATCGGCCACGAGCTCCCAAATTTCTCCTAACAAGGCCAAGCGTAATTGAGAGTTTCCCCGAACCCGGAAGCCGTGTTCGGGTTTGAACGAGTCGGACTTCCCCAATCGGCGTGGACGGCAGTGGCGTTTTCCGGCAGAATATTTTGTATAAAGATAAAGACATCTGGAGAAAAAGAAATGTGGTTCTTGTAAATCAAAAAAGGGTCAAAGTGCATATGGTACGATTTTCCGGATATCCCCAGATCAACCCACAAAAACGTGCCTCTGGGTCTAATCATTTCCTTGTCAAGAACAGGTGCATAGCCAACCGCAACCCTTCACAACGCGTACCAGGGTAATCTTACTGTATTTCTCTTTACAATTTAGCCGGTGTGTCCACATCGATACTTAACAAATGAGAAGAACCCGAGCACATAATAGTCCGGGGCCCCGACTACGGTCCTTTTCCCAGAAAGGCACGGCACACGGCTTCTCGTGAACTTCAGTGG